AGTTGGATCAGAAAAAGGGAGAAGAAGAGGTAGGGGAGAGGAGTAAGAATGTGTGCTGGGCTATGCATGTGTATGTTTGTTTTCCCCATCACACATGTGGAACCTATGAAAGCTTATTTCTGCCATGGAATATAAAGGGTAAAGGGTAATTTACTTTTTTTTCTCATAATTCTGACTTTTTATTCTTGCAAACGTGAATTTATCTCACAATTCCGATAAAGTTTTATCTCACAATTCTGATAAAGTCTGAATTGCAAGATGTAAACTTGCAATTCCAAGAATAGAAGTCCAAATTGTGAGATAAAAAGGTCACAATTACTGTGTTTACTTTTTTATCCTGTGACGGAAACAAGCTTGCATAGTAACCAAAGGCCATGTATGTTGTAATGTTTGTTGATCACTGGCATCAGCTACCATGGGGTCACCATCCACATCCAACCCCCACCCACTGGAAAGCAATTTCAATCAAGGTTCCAACTGAATTTCTGCATAGGGGACCCTATTTTTTTCTATTATACATTCTATAAAGTAATGACTCATTCAGTTGTAGACAGTATGTTCCCAAGAATGAACAAATTCAACAAATAAAACATGTCAAATGGGTTTCAGTTGAAGGTAACTAAATTACAAAAAAACAATAGATCTTTATATTGTCTAGAACTGAAACATGACAAGTAATGGAGTTTTTGTAAAGTCATCAACTGTTAGTATTTTGACAGTCACTGTGCTATGATTGACTATATGCTCCTGTTGGATAGAAAAGTAGTGCTAATGTTTTGACCGAATGACTCGATTTTGAATCGGGTTTGCTGTGTTTTGATAGAGTTAGTATATGTAGAAAAAGGTATTCAGCATTTTGAAATGTAGAGTTTGTATTTATTTAACAAAATGTGTGATGTAGGTGTGTTGCTGTGTTAAGAGTTTAGAAAAAGTACTTTAAGTATTGGTAAATGCTTGTTAGCAATTGAAAAAAACTGTAATGCACATTAATTGTGCAGAAGTAGTACTGAAGTCCAACTAAAGATATACTTAAGTATATTTGATTGTGCTAAAGTAGAACTATTGCAAGAATACTTCAGGTACACTTTAAAAAATATTGATATTATTCAAAGATCATACAATCCTCATCTATAGTGATTTTGATAGACATTTTAGGCTTAATATTAAGAAATGTGCATTGTGCACAAGTAGTACTCCAAATTAAGTTTAATTATACTTTTTATATCACTAAGTCTCGAGCAATATGTTCGATTAGAATGTTAGATGAATAGATTATACACAGATCAGGCATAACATTATGACCACCTTACTAATATTGTGTTGGTCCCCCTTTTGCTGCCAAAACAGCCCTGACCCGTCAAGGCATGGACTCCACTAGACCCCTGAAGGTGTGCTGTGGTATCTGGCACCAAGATGTTAGCAGCAGATCCTTTAAGTCCTGTAAATTGGATGTAAGTGGGCACATTATCCTGCAGAAAGAGGCCACAACCACCAGGGAATACTGTTTCCATGAAAGGGTGTACATGGTCTGCAACAATGCTTAGGCAGGACCCAATGTTTCTCAGCAGAACATTGCCCAAAGCATCACACTGCCTCCGCCGGCTTGCCTGCTTCCTAAAGTGCATCCTGGTGCCATGTGTTCCCCAGGAAAGTGACGCACACGCACCCGGCCATCCATGTGATGTAAAAGAAATGTGATTCATCAGACCAGGCCACCTTCTTCCATTGCTCCGTGTTCCAGTTCTGATGCTTGTTAGTTTGTTAGCTGATAAAAATTTGCTATTGGTGGAAAAATCATGAAGCTCCACCCCTTTTTGGGTCATGTGAGTGAATGAGATTCTCGGCAGAGAATGAGATTATGGTTGCCCAGATGCAGAGAAGCTGATTTGATTAATGGATTGCTTTAGAGAGATTGGGAGCTGATATTCCTTCTACAAGATGATGAAGTTTGTCATGAACTCTTGAACAATTGGATTCTGAAGTTGTGAGCTCCACCCCTTTTTGGGTCATGTGAGTGAATGAGATTCTCGGCAGAGAATGAGATTATGGTTGCCCAGATGCAGAGAAGCTGATTTGATTAATGGATTGCTTTAGAGAGATTGGTAGCTGATATTCCTTCTACAAGATGATGAAGTTTGTCATGAACTCTTGAACAATTGGATTTTGAAGTTGTGTCCTGGCTTTTTTGAATTTGTGTCTTCTGCAAAGCTGTATACTGTGAACTTGAATCTCGGTGTGTGTTAACAAGCTTAACAAGTTTAAATGATCTGATATTAGCTCTTTAATAGTTAAATGAGATTTGCCATACTTGTTCCAATGTTTCTTCATGTTATGATCAAATCATTTCTTTGAGTTGAACATCTTTGATTGATGTGTGATTCAATTGCTGCAGTGCTGAGCAGCCATTTCAATGCGTGTTTGAGAATGCATAATGTGATTTATGATAAGAAATGGGAATGTGATCGACTTGATGTAAAAGTTCTATGCATACATAAAGTGAATGGTGATTATTGTTAATTATTTAGAGTGTGGAAGTCACATTGTTGACAACAATTCACTGAGTGGGCATTATGTACCTTCAGTATGTATATTGAGTGAATTGAGCACATGATTGTGAATGTTTAAGTTTGTTTGCAGTTGAGTTCATGATATTAATTAATTTATTATGTTTAAACAGAGTTTATTTTACATTAAGGTCTATATTAGTTGATTATTGAGTAACATGATATGGATGTGCCTGTTTTATTGCAGGCCAGGTTTTTGTATGCTATTGAATTATTCTGGAATGAAGATGGCGAGCCACCCACCCTTGATCATTGGATCCATGGTTCCCTTTCAGTCGGTCACTCTCGACGTCACGTCGGATGACCGACGAATTGGGATCTCGCTTAGAGAGACCAATCTACTTCGAGTGTAAACTAAACGAGCCAATGCACATTGGCATGCGATTATTGCATCCAGCTGCTGCTGATCACAGCGTGAGTATAAGTAGGCAGCAGATGCAGCGCATATTCAGCTTTTCGCTTCGGAGCCGAGCGGTTCTATCGTTCTGCTCCTGACCTAAGTCTACGGTAGTGAAAACTACAGTCAAGCACACTCTTCGTGGCCTCTCGTGCTGGTGGTACGGCGCTTCAGCGGCGGTGGCTTTCCCATGTCGAGTGGGTTGCACACAACAGGCTGCACTACCCCTGTGTGTGTTGCAGACGGCCATCTC